CCACACCCAGCTTCATAATTCAATTCTGATACCACCTAGACTTATCAAAATCTCAACAACTTCAAGTTCAGTCTCACCACACAGTTCCACAAATGCCATTTCAAAGTCTGTTCGCTCTGTCTGGTCTTCGGTCTCCTTCTGCTTTGGAGTGACACCCCGGAGTTTACATTACCCTAAATCAGAAACTGTCTGAAAAGGACTATCAAACAATCAAAGTCATTCCAACTGCGAAGAATTCCAAGAGTTTTAGGATATGTGTCACAAACAGGAACAAAGTTCAATTTTTAAAAAGATACTACACACTCATATCAACTCTGAAATACACTTTTCTCCAGAGATACAACACAAAGGTGGCTTTCTCTGAGACTGCCACTCCCAAATTTCTTCAGTTGGCACAAATTAAACATACTGAGCAAGGTGGCTACAAAAGCAAACAAATAAAGATACTGATCTTATCCAAATACTATAATCCTCAAAACTAGATGATTAAACCTGTATGATTTAAATCTGTATTTCTGTCTGCTCTTGAGAAACAGCCTACTGCAAACAGAACCCTTCCCAAGACAGGTAAATCACGCCCTTATTTTTATTCACTGACAAGGCCAGACACACCTGTTGCACTCTCATTTTCTGCCTAAAAGTGATCAGCCAAATGAATCAGAAGGGAGGAAAAAGAAAGGAGGGAAATAACTTGTTAAGCTGTTCTTCCAGCAGGCCTGTGAGGCAGAACTAAGTTGTAGTCATACTAAGTACAAGCTAACTCCTTGACTTCAGGGGAAAACGTCCTGTGAACTAAGATCTGACTTGGCCTCCCCCCTAAACCCTTTCTCCCCATTTCCTCTGTTTGCTCCCCCTATGGAAAATAAAGCCTCCCTTGTCTACCACCCCAGCTCGAAGACTTGACGCTGTGCTTATGCTTTGCTGCAATTCTCCTTTCAAATAGTGATTCCCCGGTTGCCGAACTCGATTCATTCCAAATGCATGTTCAAATACCTAAAAGTTTGAGAACTGAACATATTTTCCCCATAAGAAATAAAGAAAAACCAAATAATTGGTTCTAAGGCCCCAAAACCATATTTGTAAATGCATTTTCCGGGACTTTAACACATTTCGCAATGATTTCTTTCATTCTGTTTCCCTCTTAGCTTTAGCTTTACTGGTGGTATCACTAACTTTCTTTGAAGCCATGGTTACAATATTTTATGCAAATAAAGCACAATGACAAATGTTTTAACGCACAAACAAAGGCACTGTGTTTGTTGTCTGGCCGAGAGCGGCAGTTAGACCGAAGCGTCACCCCTTAAGGGTCAGGTTTTTTCAAGTAAGATTTTCGGCTCCGCTAGCAGTTACGAACTCCAAGCACATTTTTTTTTTTCAGACTCTGCTGTTCGAGTAGTGAAAAGTTCGAGATTTACAACCGAGGTATCACTGTGAAGTCATAAACTAACCACAACAGGCTTTGGGGGGGGTACTGGGGATTGAACTCGGATCCTTGCGCTTGCGAGGCAGGCGGCTGAACCACTGAGCTAAATCTCCGTCCCGGCATTTGGTTTTTAAAGCAATATTTAGAAATAGTTCGTGAAAAACAAATAATTCCGTCCAAGTGAGAAACACACACCACCACCACGACCACCGCCCCGTCACAGGTCAGTGCTCCCTTTTTTTTAATTAGTTTGACAACATGGAGGAGTGTCTGGAAATTTAGGATTTTTCCCCCATCTGTAAGAAGCACCGTGATACCGCGGATATCAGTTGATGCTTCTCTTAAACCTCCAACATCGAGGAAAATCGGGGGCATGAGGAGAAAGCGGGGGCCGGGGACCCCACGCAGGGGGCTCCGGACCGGCTCAAGGAGCCGCACAGAACCCGAGGGCCCGGGTCCCAGCGGGTGG